AACAACAACAACAACAACAACAACAACAACAACAACAACAACAACAACAACAACAACAACAACAACAACAACAACAGGCAACAAAAACTGTCACCACAACCACTTATTCTTCCGAATTATCTCAAAGACCTAGTTTGTGGGATTTAAATACCATGTTAGCAACATTTGATTCACTACCACATTCAATGAAATCTTATATGCTTTTTCAATTATTAAGGCGTTGCCCCACTAATACTCTTCAATATGTTAGTAATATAATTTTACCGACATTAAGAAAAGATTTCCTTGGTACTTTACCACTAGAACTAAGTCTGCACATTGTAAGATACTTGGATGCATCGAGTATGTGTAAAGCAGCTCAAGTTAATAAACAATGGAGGGATGTTGTAGATGGCGATGGGTTTACTTGGAAAAGATGTTTGTTGTCTGATGGTTTCAGTCTTGATGATTCAGAAGAAGCACGTGCTATCTCAGAAGATTGGGGATTTACAAGTTCAATAACATCACCATTAAATCGAAATAATTATAATAGTATTGATGATGATAATGGGTGCTCAAGAGAAGTAGACAATTCATCTTCTGAAGAAAGGGCAATTGTAAAAATTGACGAGAATGATAATACTGAAATTATGAGAATCATTAATGTCACTAACGGAATTAAATCTGAAGGTTCATCATCAAGAAATATTTTTAATGACGATGATAATGATGATAATGATATGGTAGTTGACTATGATAATGTTGCAAAGCAAGAAAAAAATTCTCATTCTTCAATTATTGAAGAGGAAGATAATGATAACGGCGATGATGTAAATTTACAAGATGCTTATACACTTTCACCAACAGGTACAGAGGTCCAACCATCATCTATTCCTAATGGTAATAATAGTACGAACAATAGTGATAGTGATAATTTATTACGTACAGAGGAAACTTTTTCAATTCAAAATAAAGGTAAAGGTCGAGCAGACGTTGGATGGGATTCGGTAGAGCTTTATCAAAATGAATCAAATCAAGATCATGATAAGCCATATAATGATGATGATAATGATGTTGATGCAATGTCTCAAAGTAGTGATCATGTTGATACTTCTGATGATAAATTACCTCTCCCACCTTCAACAAAGCATCCATATAAAGAGATCTACCGTCGACACTATCTCACACGAAAAAATTGGTCTAATGGTCAACATAAACATATCTCCTTTCAAGGTCATGGTAATAATGTTGTAACTTGTTTACAATTTGATTCTGAAAAAATCATTTCAGGATCAGATGACCAATGTATAAATGTTTATGATACAGTTAGCGGTAGAATGATCAATAGACTTGAAGGTCATGAGGGTGGCGTCTGGGCTTTACAATATGTTGATAAAACATTGGTATCTGGATCAACAGATAGAACAGTTCGTATATGGGACCTTTCAAAAGGTGTGTGCACTCATGTGTTTCCTGGACATACAAGTACCGTTAGATGTCTTCAAATTATAACACCGCAAAATGTTAATCCAAATCCAAATGAACCACCTATTATTGAACCACCTATTCCTTTAATCGTCACCGGCTCAAGAGATTCTACGTTAAAAGTGTGGCGTTTACCTAATCTTGATACTGATCCATCATATCATCCTACTATACCTTCATCACCATCAGACAATACTCAAATCAGCGATAATCCTTATTTTCTTCGCACACTTCAAGGTCATAATCATTCTGTCCGTGCTTTAGCAGGCATAGGAAATACTCTAGTTAGTGGTAGTTATGATTGCACCGTTAGGGTTTGGAACATCATGACTGGTGAAAGTGTCTGGCGTCTACAAGGGCATACACAAAAAGTTTATTCTGTTGTATTAGATGCCAAAAGAAAAAGATGTATGAGCGGAAGTATGGACGGCACTGTTAAAGTTTGGAGTCTTGAAGACGGCACAAATATTTGGACATTAGAAGGACATTCGTCTCTTGTTGGTTTACTCGATCTTTCCCATGATTATCTTGTTTCGGCAGCAGCAGATTCGAGTCTTCGTATATGGAACCCTGACAACGGTACGTGCAAGCATGTGTTGACTACTCATTCTGGGGCAATAACATGCTTTCAGCATGATGGAGACAAAGTTATATCTGGTTCGGATGGAACGTTGCGTATGTGGAAAGTAAAAACAGGAAAACATACTCGTGATCTACTAACAGGACTAAGCGGTGTATGGTAATGTATATTTATATAACAAAAATTTTTTTGAAAAAAAAAAAATTTGAAACTAATTATTCGTTAATTAATTAATATAGGCAAGTGAAATTTGACGAACGGCGATGTGTTGCAGCTGTACAAAGAAATTCTGTAACTTGTTTTGAAGTCTTAGACTTTGGAGTGTTTGGTATAGAAGAAGACAAAAATACGCCAAATGCCAGTTGTACTGATGAAGACGGTAATTGGATTTCTAAAAGAATAGTTGTAGGGTAACTTTACGTCTGCTATCACTCACTACTACATCACATCATCACACCACCAACATTATTATCATTGCATCTCTGTTGGATCTAGATGAATAAATAAAACAAATTATTGTTGTTGTTTAGTTTGTTTGTCCTAGTATATATTGTAATTTTAGAAATTTCTTTAAATGATTAGAGAATTATTTATATATATCATTCATTGCGAACAATGTGTTGGTTGAATTTTTTATTATTATTCATGTTTGTTATCAATCAGTAAATACACTTTAATATTTTTTTTTTAGTCATAAAAATTAAAATTTTAGAAGTTATTTTTTGTTACCTTATATAATGGAAATATTCTGGTGTGTCATTTTTTTTACAGGGCTTTATGCAATAGACTTGAAATTCTCTTGATTCCGTAGATTGTTCCTTGGGAATTCTTGAAGAACAACCACTTTTTCTAAAAAATCAATTGCTTTTTGATATTCATTATAATCATTATACTTATTATTACTTTTCATATACACTTATCCCTATATATAATTTTTATGTTCACATTGTATTTTTTAACAAAAAAATATGATCAACAATTGAATTTCCTTTATTGTTAAAATTGCAGAATTTGGAAATTTTGCAGACAATCTTTGTTTTTTTATTCTTGAGCAAACATAAAAGTCTAATGCGCAATAAGCTTAGAAAATTGAGTGAAAATTTAAAAGTATAAATGTTTGAAAAGCTAAGAATGATCAAGGTAGTTAAGACACATTAATCTTATAAAATTTACAACTAATACAGTTAAAACAAATCATCCTTGTTTGATTTGCTGATAAAACAATGGTAACATGTGTGATAATAAACTTGCTATCTTAATTTTTTCACTATTCACTTCTCTTGCAAAAGGATCATCTCTTGCACGCACAAAAGATTGCATTGCTTCAAACCCAGAAGTTCTCTCCTCATAAAAGTTTGACAATCCTAACACTATTCTATTAACTGCATTTTTTTTTGTTTTCATCACTTTCTATAGAGGCTTGTTTGAGTTTCCAACTTCCTGAAAATTTTCCATAATTGTAACAAATGACTTCTGTATCAACTGTAAATGCCTTACCTGTTTGGAGAAAATATATATATATATTTAAAGCTCAACATGGAGATGAAAAATTGTACTTGTATTTCTTACCAATTTGAGCATAAATAGTTAAATAAAATTATTTTTAACAATATCTGCAGATTATTACTCAGGATATATATAGTCTATTTCTAATTTTCTGCCAACATCATCATATACATTTTGATTCACAACTGCCCAATTCTTCACCTAACCAATAACAATAATGCACATCATCAATGAGTAAATTTATATAAATTATATTTGCAAAATATATGAAAATGAGTGGTACCTGAATGACAATACATCCAAATTCATTTTTATTTTTATGCTTGATCACCAATAGAATATCATCACCTTGATGATTATATTTCAGATTTATTGCATCCAAACTTTCTCAAATGTATCCAAGTCTGGTTTATATGTAATTTGGATGAAATGTGTAAACCCAATTTCATAATCCTCCCATGTATCATGATGATCCTTAATTTTTCCAAATCTGGGAAAAAGTGCTTCCATGAAGTCCTTGACAGGTACTCTACAAGAAAAAAATAAACTACTACCTCTTTTTTTTTAATACAGCATATCCAAGCAGTCAGCAAAATGATTCTCATGCCAAGTTCTCCTTGGTCACCAGAATTAACTATTCCAGCTATAGAATTGTATTATTCAATACTGTTATTGTAGCTTTTCGATAATAATCATTTTGCAAAGTCACCAGTACTGCTTCAGCTAAAATGGGTTCTGATGGATAATAAATTAACACTTGTGTTCTATTTTCATTAACATAAATTATAGTTGCCATAAGGTAATTTTGCTCTAGGACAAAAATAAAGGCCTACAGTACAACCAAAATGTGATAAAGCAGTTATGCATTTTTATTGTTATTTCCCAATACCAAGGGCAAAATTGACCCAGTCAGCTTATTCCTAACCAAAGATATAGTCCCATTAATGTCACCTGTTGCTACAAGATTTGTCATCCAAAGTGGACGCCCAGATCAAATCCCATCATTTCTCTCAAACTATCAACTTCTTGGGGTAACTTTGTTTTATCACTACCAAAAATTTCATTAGTATCCATAACCATTTTTAATTGGGAAAAAATTCGAACCTGTATATATCTGTTGATGCAGCATGTATAAACGGGCCTAACAGAGTCTTCACATCATCTCCAACTTTTCTTGCCTATAAAATAGAACAGTAAATAAATGAAGAAATAAGAGGCTGTGTATGGGCAACTTATTTGTAAATCTTACAGATTTATCATCACTTTCTTTAGGAACCAAATTTCCAATACTTGAATTTGTATCTGTCATTATTCCAAATATGCAGTCTCCAATCCTTGATAATGCCCTTCTGTACCCTCTATATGGAAAGTTATTGCAGTCGTCTTTACAATGATAGTTAAACATCATGTTAATATTAGATATTAAGATAAATTACCTATTAACCAATATATGTGTACTTGCCATATGAAACAGTACTGGGATCCAATAGCCAAGAAGCTTCAACAAACATACAAAGTACCTTACCAGGACCCAGATCAGCACAACATTTTCATGTGGTCACAATAAGGGTGTTGCAATTTTCTCCAAAAAGATTATCCATTGCTTTTCCAACTTCATCCCAAAATTTTTTACTATTATTCTGCAACCATCATTGCATTGAATTAGAGAAACAATAATTACATAATTAATTACTATATATAGATGTTCATTGCCTTCTTCTTCACCACGTAACATATCTTGATACACTGCCCCCAATCGTCCGCCTTCTTCTCCAATTTTTTCTCTTTTTCCTCCAACCTCGTCTTCTCTTCATCAAGTTCTTTCTTTCCCCTAAAGTCTTCCAACCATTCCCCGTCGTTTTCCCCTTCCTTGAACCGATTCAACTCCTCTTTTTCCTCTTACATGTTGCCATTTTTAAAAGTAAAAAATTTAAAATTTAAAAATCAAAAAGATTTTTTTCACATTTTATAATAAATTGGTCTATAGACGGTCCGTCGATTAATACACTGTAGTTTACAACGTGGTAATATACGTAATTGCATCATATATTGTGCCCGAACTACTTAAAGAGGCAAGAATAACGCAAAGAACACAAAAAAAAACAGATATGTATAGCATAGGAATGCTATTGTGGGAAATGTTGCAAGATATCCACCATTTGATGTCAGAGCTCATAATCGTCATTTAATTTTTGATATCGTGAAGGATTACAACTATTAATGTTATCGGGAATGTCTAATGATTATGTACAAGTGATACAAATGTATTGGTATGTGGATTCAACCAAAATGTTAACCATTAGAGAGCTTTATGATTTTGCTGATAATACAATAAAGGAAATTTATAAAGGTGAAAACTTGTATAATAGTAATAATTATGGTAGCGGTAATACAGTACGAGTAGTAATTCGCAAGTACACAAATTACGTCCAGATGCATATCATTCAAGTAGAATGTTATTAGATGATGTTGGAAAATTAAAATAAAAAGCGAGATAGTTCCATTAAATGATCTTGATTTTAGCTCTTTTATTTGTAATATTAAATAAGGTGAATTAAATTTTCATAATAATTAATTAGTTGAAATTTATTACCAAGGTTATTTATTTTTTGATTTTAAAATAATGCAAAATGTTCTCATGATCATTATTTAAATAATAAAAAAGTGGGACATTCAATTCACTGATATCACCAATAATTCAAAGGAAAAAGTCATTGATGAAAATCCATCATCATTTTGAACCTTTATATTAGTCAAAAATATAAAACTCCAATTATAGTTGTTCTTTAAAATAAACAAGAAAATGGTGTTATTATATTTATATTTGTTAAAAACATCAATTTATTTTTTTGTTGGTTTATTAACATTACTAAATTCTGGTGGTTTCTCACAAATGCAGAGTCCATTAGATTCAGATGCCAGTAATAATATTCCTGGAATAAAATTAAAAGGACTGAATAAAGATAAAAACTCACAATTCAATGTTTATTCACCTTGGACAGGAAATGACATGTTCTGTATTGATATCGAAACTCCACCACCTAATACAGTACTAGTGCCTTATTATAATGTTTATATTCGTTGGTATCAGAGTAAAGATTGTAAAACAATTAATCCTCTCACAAACTTCATGTTGACTTTACACAATAATCCAAAATCTTCTGAAAATAGATATGCGCCTAAAGTAAAATCTGAATGGAGTACTTCAATAGCTTCTAGTCTATATGAGTTCCAGTACAAATGGATTGTACCTTTAATAGCTCATGGTACAGTAAAGAACATGTCTTTATTTTATATTCGTATTGAAACAGAAGGTATAGTTAATAGTGGAATGTATACTGTTTTCGGAGTCATAGGCCCACTGACTATCTGGACTTCACCTGGAATAGAAAATAAGACTTTATTTGCTCCAAAAGAAGAATTTGTAAACTCCACCTCCACAAAACCTCCTGTTCAACCCGTAGATTCTATTGGTAGCAAATTAGACATAGTACATATCATTAATGAAAACCCTTTTATCTTTAATATCATAATAATATTTTCTTTGATGATAGCAACTGTATTATTATTTATCTAAATTATTCAACATTTTAGAAATATTATATATAATGAATTAAACAAATTAAATTGACCTTGAGAAAGGTTTTCATATATAAAAGTTGTGATCCGCCTAAAATTAATTTCTATGTATTATAAAACTCCTATTAATATATATTTACAGTATTATTAAATGCAAATCCTACAATAAAGGTGAGCAGGTGAACTAGTTCTAAAATATCTAATGATCCGGGGATTTCGATGGGATGGTAATGAATCCGACGAAAGTGCGTGATTCTTCCACGTTTTC